GGCAGAAGTTTGTCTCGTGTAAAAGAAGTCAGACGTTGATAGCCCCGAGCTGGTGGGGCCCCTGCATGAAGTTGCACCCCAAGGCTCCTTTTCTCTGGCTCTTGCCCTGTCCTCAGCCCGCCTGGGCTCCAGGAAGGAGGAGGAAACAATGAGGAAGGGTGCATCCCTCCCTTTAAGATCTCTTCTGGAACGGGGTGGGGGAAGGATGGATTGGGAGTTTGAGATTAGCGGATGCAAACTAATCTATATAAGATGGATAAACAACAAGGTCCTACTGTAGAGCACAGGGAACTATATTCAATATCCTGTAATACACCATAATGGAAAAGAATATGAAAAAGAATATATATATGTTAACTGAATCACTTTACTGTACAGCAGAAATTAACACAACATTGTAAATCAACCACACTTCAATAAGATAAAATTTTTTTTTTAATTTAACTCATTTAAAAGAAATAAAAAGAGATCTCTTCTGGAGGTCCCAGATGCCCTTTGTGCTTGCATACCAATAGCAGAACTGAGTCCTCGTGGGGGAAGCTGAGAAATGTACTGACTGTGTCCCCCCGCCCCCCCCCCCCAAAAAGTCCTATTTTTAAAGGAAAGGGAATGTGGATATTGAAAGTCAACCAGCAGTCTCTGCTACAGCCTGGAATTGGCAGCGTGTGAAAAGATGACAGTATTGAGTCTTCCAGGCAGGAATGTGCTGTCTTTCCACTTATTTAGGTCTTCTGATATCCTTCAATCAAGTTTACCATTTTTCATAGAGATCTTGCAAATTTTTTGTTAGATTTAATTCCTAAGTACCTAATGGTTTTTATTTCTCTTTGTAAATAGGAATTTTTTGCACTTATATTTTCTCAGTGATCACAGGCAAGGAGTGTTACTGTTTTCTTTTTATTTTGTACTCACTGGTTCTCATTTTCTAGGTAGACAATCATCATGTGTGATGACAGTTTCTCCCTTTCCATCCTTCTGCATTTTCTTTCACAAGTGGTTGGTTTCATCCTCATTATGCCATGACTCATGTTGAATGCAAGTGGTGATAATAGGCATTCTTGTCTCTTCATCAAGTTTTATTAAATTATTTTTATATCTGTCGAGTGTGAGCATTTGGTTTTCCTCCTTTAATCTGTTAATGTGTGAATTACATTACTATATTTTCTAAGATTCCTGAGATAAATCCTAATATAGTACATCATAATGGATAAGATGATGATCTTTTTTGAACATGGTTGGATTGAGTTTGCTAATCTTTTATTTAGGATTATTGCATCTGTCCATAAATGAAAAATAGATTGTTTTATAATTTTTCTTTCTCATAGTAGCCTTCTCTGACTTTTGGAAACAGCATTATATGGCCTCAAAAAATTAGGTGGGGAGCTCTTCTTTTCTGTTCTCTAGAACAACTTGTGTAAGATGGCAGGTCCTCAAAATTTTCATAGACTTCACCTGTAGATTTTTGGTAGGTAGATTTTTAAGTATTATTTCAATTACATTAATGGCTAAAAGTCTAAGCAGGTTTTCTAATTTCTTTTTGTAACTTTCTATTGAAGTGTAACATACAGAAAAGTTAGCATTATGTAAAAGTAATCATACAAATGTACTTTTTGGTGTTTATTTTATTTAACATTTTATTTGAGAGATTTAGCCATATTGTTGCATATAATTGTAGTTTGTTCATTTGAACTGCTATGTAATACTACATCATGTGAATATACTATAATGTATCCATTCTACTTAATGGGCATTTGGGTAGTTTCCAGTCTCTGAGGTTTACAAACAACACTGCTGAGAACGTTCTGGTCCCTGCCCTTGGTAAACATGTGTTTGCATTTATGTTGTCCAGGAGTGGAATTTGCTGAGGCATCCACGTATGTGCAGCTTTAGTCGATGTTCCTGAACAATTTTTAAAACTGATTACCAATTTCTATTCCTTCTTTGAGTTTTGGCAAGTTATATTTTTCTAGAAAATTGTCTATTTCATCAAAGTTATTAGCACAAATATTCTTATTTAATATCTGTCATTATGTTCCTTGTGTTATTCCTAATATAATTTGTGCTTCTTTCTTTGTCTTTTCACTAAGCGTCAGGTTTATTCATTTTATTTGACTTTTTCAACAGTCAGCATTGGGTTTTCATTGATTCCTTCTGTTGTGTCTCTGTTTCCCACTTTATTAACATTTGCTCTGTACTTCATTCTTACCAATTTCTTTAGACCATTGTTACCTTCTCTTAACTTCTTAAATGGTGTTTAACTGTTTAATTTTCAGTCTTCGTTTTCTTTAAGCTCAATATTTTAAAATTACATCAACTACTTCTTAATTATATCCCACAAGCTTTGATTGGTAGTAGTCTCAATTGTATTCACTTTTTGATATCTTCTAACTTCCGTTATGATTTTTCATTTTTGATCTCAAATGTGTGCATTTTTGTTTGTTTTATATTAATTATAATTTTGATATTTATTTTTAGTTGCATTGTAGTCAGAGAATATAGTCTGTATAATATTTATGTTTTGGTATTTGCAGATATTTTATATAGGACTTAGTGCACTGTCACTTTTTTAATAAATGATTTACTTATAACAGAATAGAATATATATTCTCTAAAAGTTGAGTGCAGGCTATATATGTCCATCTAGACAAACTTGTTATTTATGTTCTATATTGTTACTAATTGTCTGTCTGCTTGATCTATCAGTATGTGCTAAAAATTAAATATATGTCTAGATGTTTCCACTTCACTTATAATTTTGTTAAATTTTACTTTCTGTATTTTGATGCTGTCATGTTATATATAAATAATATCAATGTATCTTAGTGGTTTTATCCCTAATAATGCCTCTTTTGCCCTTGAGGTCTGTTTATTTGACATGAATATAGCAACATCAGTTTGCTTTAATATTTCTTTTTCCATCTCTTTACATCAACTTGTCTATGTCTTTATATTTTCAGTTTGTCTATTGTTGGGTTGGGGGTAATGGGAGAGATTTCAAAACTGACAGTCTCAGCCTTTCAGCTTGTGAGTTTGTCAATGTATATTTAGTGTGATCATTAATATATTTGAATTTATTTCTACCAGTATCTCTCCAGAACAGTTTTGCATAATATCTCTACTTTTAGTTTCCCTATTTTTTAAAAAAACTATCTTTTTTTATAGTGTCCTGTTCTTTTTTTTTTAACTCCTTCTGTATCTCAGTCATCTTAAAACTTCTAATTTTATAGTTTTTTTCAGAATGTTGTAAATTTAAGTCCTTGGGGATCTAATCCTCCTATTTATTGTACACACTGACTCTTGCTCATGATGGGTTTTTTCCTCATGGGTTTTGTAGTTTGGGGTCCGAGTCTTCCCCCACTGGAGCTGTATCTATGAATCCCATCTAATTCATCTAATTCCAGGATGAGAGAGTGTCTCTCCAGAATAACTTTAGATTTGCTTCTGCTTGGCTCCTTAGGTGTATCCATCTCCAATCCCAGAACGAATTTTATGTACTTTTCGATGGGTTCTTAGAGCAGATATGTGGTGTAACTTGAACCCCAAATTTCCCTGCAGTTCTCACCTCTCAGGCAGACCGAGATTCCTGCTCCCTCCCTCAGGAAAATCTGCTCTTTGGTTGGTTTTTTTCTCATCCTCTCTCACTGGGGGTGCTGCCATTTGAGGTTGTGCCTTTAAGGAGGTAATGAGCTTAAAGTCACTGCCTCTTTCAGACCCAAGGCCTCCTCTCCTGAACCCAAATAGGTGATAAAACCCAAGTAGCGGGCTTCCCTGGTGGCGCAGTGGTTGAGAGTCCGCCTGCCGGTGCAGGGGACGCGGGTTCGTGCCCCGGTCCGGGAAGATCCCGCATGCCGCGGAGCGGCTGGGCTCGTGAGCCATGGCCGCTGGGCCTGCGTTTCCGGAGCCTGTGCTCCGCAACGGGAGAGGCCACAACAGTGAGAGGCCCGCGTACTGCAAAAAAAAAAAACCCAAGTAGCTCTGGATTAGCAGGATGTGCTCCCCCTCGCACCATATCCTCTCTTCTTTACTGCCCTGGTTTTCCAGAGCTTGTTTCTGGCACCTTGGGGCCTCCATCCTCCCTTTATGTTCAGCTATGCATATGAAATATTTTTAAATTTTATCTAGCATGTTTAGGTATTATAATTTTCCTGTATTATAATAGGAAAAATTTTAGGTTTTCTTAGTCTCTAAATCTTCCAGAACTAGAAGACGTCCAGAAACAGATTTAAGTTGATAAATTTAAAAGGTGGCATATAGGTAAAAAATGTCAATTTTTTAAAAGCATCGTGCAGTGCTTTTAAAAAGCGGTGCATGCGGTGGAGGAGGCTACCTGTCTAGCCACATAGTGGCTTTTTTTCATTGATGACATCGAAAAGGCAAGAAATGGCATCGCCACCAATGTGAAGTTATCCATAAAGCCACACAGAGGACAGGTGTGAACCTCTTGTCCCTGTGTGTAAGGTTTACCTTTACATTCCCGAGCCCGTCCCCCAACCTGGGTTTTATCTCCACCTGCAGTCTCTCTCCGTGGACCTTGCTCAGAATTTACTCAAATTTTAAAAAAGAACAAGAACAGGGAGAAGAGGAGCTGGAGGAGAAAGGGGGAGAAGCAACATCTTAAAGAGCTGCTGAAGGAAGCTCCAGGTTTCTGGTTGCCTGCCCTGAATTAGCCTCCATTCGCGTCTTCCCGAGTCCAGCGGAGTTGGGACAGTGTTGGGGACACCACGGGGCTGAGGTTAGGAGTGACTGCATGTGTCTCCCACTGCCTTCTGGAGTCAGATTGCACAAATCCCTCTGGCAGTACCTGCTACCTTCTTTTCTCTCTGTGCACCTACTGCAGGCTGCCGATTTTAGCCTGTTGATTCAGCTTGCACACAGCAGGTCCAACTGACATTTTATTTCCAGTCTGCAGCTGTGACTGCATTGCAAGAGAAAGCTCTTTAGTGCGTTACCATGTTTCTGCTCCTCCCCTGTGTGATCGCTGTGCATTGATCTCTTTTTAGGGAGGAATGATCAACTGGAACCGTCTTTTCCCTCCTCTACGTCAGCGACGAAACGTAAACTATCAGGATGGTCGGCAGTCTGAGCAACAAGCGTCCCCTCCTCTAGAGGTTTCGGAGGAGCAGGTAATCAGTAACACCTGGTACTTACCCTAAACCCATGCTTCACACTCCAAGCAGTTTTGGTGAACGAGACTTGAAAGAAATCAAGCATATAAGTACAAAGATTTTGGTATCAGGTAAACCAGTGATAGATACTTGGGCCCTTTATTGGCTACTGTGGTTCTTATGAGTTTGAGGAAGGCATAATTTGAAAAAAAAATGCATTGTGATCGCTTATTTTTAAATCTGATATTTCATGTTTACTGAAGTTGGTTCACTACACAGGCTGGGAGAGAAGGAGGCAGAAGGACAGGGAGCTTCTCTGTTTGTATGGTTTTCACTTAGGAACCAAGTTAATGTTTTACATACTGAAAAAGCAAATCAGCAGTGGGGACAACCGTAAAACTAAAAGGAAACTGAAATAAATGTTCCAGCTGTATCTTAAGTGACTAATATAATCAAAAGGGAGAGGGAAAATTAATTTCGGTAACTTTTGAACATAATATGCCCTCTTAGAAAAAAGAAAAGAACTGCAAACCTCAAACTCTTCATGGGTTTATTTTTCACGGTGGTATGAGTACAGCAATTCTGAAATTATATTGTATGTATTGTAGATTAGAGGAAACAAGGAAATAGGATGATCTAAAGGGACAGGATGTATGCGGCTTAATCTCAGGTGGCTCAGGAAAAATAAATGGGAGTGTTTGTGTGTGTGTGTGTGTAGACAGAAAGCAACTGTGGCAAAGTAATAATTGGTGAATGTGGAGGAAGAGTAATTGGGTTCTTTGTGCTCTTCTTGAAATTCTTCCAGAAGTTTGTAATTATTTCACACTGGAAAGTTTCTGAAAACCTAAGCTAGTAGGTTGAGAGCACTTCAGTAACAACCCTTTTAAATTTCATACCGCAAATGTTGCTTTCTTCTCATAAAAGCAAATCAAGGTCAGTGTTTCATAGCCAGTCACCCCACGCACTTTCCCCATCCCCTGTTCCCAGAGCCAGTCCGACCCAAGGCACTCGGTCTCTGTGGCAAAGCTGTATGTATCCTGACTTTTTCTGGAACTCAGGAGGGGCTTCTGGGCAGGGCCCCCACTGGCACCTCTGGGTTAGGCCACCACAAGTGAGAGAAACCAATGGAATATGCCTGATGAGCTGACCCAACCCCTCGCCCTTAACTTCTCAGCTCAGACTCATCCTTTGAGCAGCTCGTTAGGGTTGAGAGATGGATTAAAGAGCCTATAGTTCTCTTCCTCCTCCATTAGTGAATTTCCAAAAAACTGTTAGCCCCACGATTAGAAAATAAAGCCGAGTATCTCAGCATTTGTAAGGCATTTATAATAACAGATTAAAAAATAAACTAATACTCTCAAATTCAGGTGAAAAGAAATAAAGTTCTGTTATATTACTGTTTCCTTGATAGAACCCAGGTCACATCCCTCACAACAGAGCAGCCGTTGACGATACAAAGTATTTAAAGGTGAAATAGTTCTTAGTTTTGACACTTGAGGGAAAAAAACTGTCAAAAAATGATAACAAGGTGAATGTGTGTAACTGAAGTCTTTAGGGTTGTTTTTTTTTAATGAATCATTCTCCTTGATCCTCCCAGAATGATGAGAGCGAGGTTAACACGATGTCGGTATCAGTTCTAAATATCATTTACTTCTTCTTGGCTCTGTTACGAAAAGATGTAAATACATGAGAGGTTGTTTTTAACATGCTTCCTTATTCATTGACTTTTCTAAGTCTTGTCTTTTCTATTTCTTGATTATCCTGAAATGGCCTTACAGACTGCCCCGCATTAAGACACGGAGGTCCCCCTCAACGTTATTTCTGTAGACCCTCAGTAGTTTTTGTGGTAGGTGCTCGAGAGACTGTAAAAGAGAAGAAAGATGTTGTTCTTAGCTCAAGACATTTACAGTAATGTTTACAAGTGTATAGTTACATATAATCTCTTGGTTATTTGGAGGCTAGACACTGTCTAAAATATTATTTGGGGCTTCCCTGGTGGCACAGTGGTTGGGAATCCGCCTGCCAATGCAGGGGACGCGGGTTCGGGCCCTGGTCCGGGAGGATCCCACGTACCATAGAGCAGCTGGGCCCGTTCGCCACAACTGCTGAGGCTGCGCTCTGGAGCCCATACTCCACGGCGGGAGGGGACCCCCCCAGGGAGAGGCCCCGCGCACCACGACAAGGGGTGACCCCCACTCATGGCAACTGGAGAATGCCCGCGCACGGCGACGAGGACCCAATGCGGGCAAAAATAATTAAATAAATAAATTTATTTTTTTTAAAAATTATTTGTTAGTAACATTAAGATAGTTTGAATTAACAAAACCTTTTTATGCTTAATTTTTCAATTAGATGTGCTGTACTTTATTTAAACATCAGTCATGTGATTTTAATACATTTAAGAAACAGTAATTTTCTAAACCAAGGAAAAGAGAAATGATTATTTGAGTTTTTTCTGATGTGAGCAAATACTTCAGGAATTTTAGTGAGAGTTATTTAAGATAGGAAATGTAGTCCATCTATTTTGAAAACAAAGAATATTCTAAGAAAGAATGTGCGTCCCCCATTAAGTCTAGTAAGACTCTAACATGCAGCCATAGAAATGTTTGCCACCTTTTCTACTATTGCTATTAATTTTCTGGATTTTTAGTTCTTCCCGATCCACTCCTACTGTTTTTCAACAAGCACCTTTGCCAGTTCATCACCCCTTGCAGATGCCACCCCAGACCCTTCTAGTATCTTAAAAATAAGTGTATGCATTATTGCATTTCTGTCTCTTTTTATCTTTTTCTTCTTAACCAGGGATTTTCATATTACACCCATATGCAAAATTAACAAATAATGAAATTTTGTCATATTGGCCTCATTTTTTTTTTGTTTTAAATCAAAAGGGAAAAAAGCTTCCCAAGTTTGTCTCTCTTGAGCCCTCCCCAAGCTTAGAAGGTGTCCCTTTGGTTTATGCTTAATGGGACACACAGGTGAAATTGGACAAGGAAGTTAAACAGGACTAACTGAGCCAATGCTGGCATTTAACGAAAGGAGGACAAACATGGACTTCACAAATGTTGACTTCCTCACTTCCAGTCACGTCTTTCCTTCCTTGTAGTCAGCCAGCAGTTATCAGCTGTCCGCTCTGCCCAGTCTAACTACTGGGCTAGGTTCTTGAACTACGGAGATAGGTAAGGCAAGCGATTCCTGCCTGCACGTGGTGCAGAGCCCAGTGTGGAGCCACACTCAGGGGCAGCTCTTGCCAACTGTAATCAAATCTTCCGATGCTGCTGAAGGATTGCCAGTGTGGGAGGGCGGGGGGCAGTGCTCTTTGTAAAGATGTGGCCTGGTGAAAAGCACATCCGATCTGGGGAAGCACAGGTGGGTGAGGTTGGAGCGGAGAGTGACTGCTGGGGCAGGGGCCTCATGTGGGGAAGAAGCAGGGAGGCTTCCCAGTGGTCCTCAGCAGGGCATGGACCTCTGCTTCCGTGCTGTAGGCGTTAAGGAACAATACAGGATTTTAAACAGGGAATCCCAGTGTTGGATTTCCCTGAAGGATGGACTCAAATGTGAAAGAAGGGGCATGTTATGCTCATAACCACATATGTAATGTCTTCCATCCCTGCCCAGGGAACATGTTACAGTGCAGGTGCTTCTGAGACTCTTGCCCACTCGAGATATGGTACCACTTCCTGTGGATTCCATTCATGTCCTCTGAAATATCCGTCGGCCCAAGAGAGATGGCACACAGACGCTCTCAGTCATAGCGGATAAGTAGTGAAATGTATTCAGTATGATAGAATCTAAATCTCAGTGAGTCTCTCTTCTCGTCTCCGGAGTCCTCACCACTGCCTCTGAGAAACCTGTCTAAACTCCAAAATGCTCACCTTATGAAAGCTTAGTGCTTCTGCTCTGAGTATCTGGACCACAGTGAGTTGGGTGTTGGTATAGAGACGCCCATGTCATCTGGTTCCCTGGCGGACGGTGAGCTCCATGAGGGCCAGTAGCATCTCTTCTGCGTTTCCCTCCTGACACAGAGCCTGACACACAGCAGGTGCCCCAGTGGCGGTTAGAGCAGGGCTGAACGTGAAGGTGTGGTTGGAGGGCTTCTTTTTCAAAAGAACAATTTTTTTCACTTAAAAGTGTGTTAGAGGGTGGTCCTTCGTCAGACCTTTCCACCTCTAATCTCTAGTGCTAGTGTTAGAACGTGTCATCCATTAGAATGAAATATTGAGTGGCAGTCAAATAAACCAACTTTCGGGGGTGCCTAATTCTGCTGAGTACTGAAAGATGCAAGCAAATGAGCCCCCCCAGCCTGTAGCCAGGGCCTTCTCAGGACTAAACCCTGAAGCAAGCAGGAGAGTACAAAGATGAGGGGCCGCTGAGCCACCTGCGGCCGGGCGGGAGTGTAAGATAAGCAGGTACAGTCCACTCAGCCAACCATGGGATCACAGGGGTTCA